CGAAACGTTAGGAAACAAAACTTCAAGACCACGGCCACACAGCCCGGAAGACCCACGCCAGCCAAAGTGTACAGAATTAATATGTTCTCTTAATAAGCGCATGGCTTCCATGGGGTGGCTGGGGCAGCCTGTTGGGGCAATGCACATTGACACCTATTGATCTCCCCATGTTGTAAGACACAAGCCAACCCCAGCTGCTGCTCTTTCGTTTCTGTTGGGATTCAGCAGCTTGTGGCTCCGTCTTTGCCAAATGGATGAGGAAACCAGGGGGCTGTTTCTGCTGCTGAGAGCACAGGGGCTTCTTCGAGGGCTTGTCTGTCTGCAGTGAGATCCCTGACACCTCTCCCACCACCCCATAACAAAACTGCCTCTTGGAAGCCGGGAAAGGCTGTATTCCTGCAGTCCTTGGAGCCCACCTATGGCTGGGCTGCCAAACAAGCCACTTTCTGCACTTTTCCCAGCACTGAGGACTGTACATTCAAGAGTCCCTCAGTATTTAGTGCCTTTCTGGCTTACATATCGCACTTTTATTACTATTGTTGTCATTCCCAAACATGGTTTTCATGTGTTGTAAGCTGCCCTGGGGAAACTTTGCTTTGAAGGGCAGTGTACCAGATTCAGAAATAAAATAAAGCAAATATCTTTATTGCAGCATGCTTTAAAATCTCCCTGGTTTTATTTTGCCAAACCACAGTCTTGCACTCTGTTCTCAGCAAGGACTCAGGGGCACACAGTGCTAAAGACAGAAATGTATGCCCCAAACTTTCCTACAAGTCCTTCCTTCGGTGGAGGTAGTTTCTCATTGTCCCTGCTGAAGTAAAATTGGATACCAGTATAGTTGGCTTTTTCACACAGTCCAGGCTAGGGCATCACCTTGCATTTTGCTGCTGAGAGCTGGAAGTTCTTGGTCAGCAAATGCCTCGGCCTCTTGACAGTGGTGGTGTTGCTGATTGCTACCTGCTAGCTTGACTAGGTTTGAGATGCCCTCTTAGATCAAGACTAAGTCCACCTGGTTCACCTTCTTTACAAGAAGCCCAGAAGCCAGGAGGGTGAGGGAGCCCACCATAAACTTGGCCCATGACCTTCCACTGGAGTTGCCGGCTTCTCAGATTGTAATCTTTCTTGGAAGCAGCGATTTTTCTCTGAACAGTATTGCGTAATTAGTGATCTAGACTGTCTGATGGTTGCTGAAAACAGGTTAATTGTTGTTAACCCCCATTTCTTCTGGCTTTCATTACTCAGTTGTCAGCCCAGCCGTTAAAAGGAGCATCTGGAACATTTATGAATTTGAAGGAAGGTTGCTGAAGCCTCTGTACGGTTTGAAGTAATTAACTTTGCCAAAGCCGGTGCCAATGAATTGCTGTTCAGCAGTTTGAGCAAAGTGAAATTCCATTAGGGCTCCATCTCCGAAAGGTTGGAGGGCCTGTTACCCTAATTATGTGGGCTAAGATTCATTGGCAAGAAAGCCGTGGGACTGAATCTGATCACTTTAGCTGCCTCTTAGCCTTCAGGCCAATCCCACTTCAAAAACCCATTTTCTCATAAAACTTTAGAGCTGTAGCCTGTTTTTTGCCATGATAGCAAGAAAAAAACCCTTCTGCTTTATGTTGCAAGAACCAGGTAAGGCAGGATAGGCAACAGCCCCCTTCCCACAAGGGAAGCCTTGAACTGGGGGGGGAACTGTGTACCCCCCTCGGGGGGGGGGG